CCCCTCCCAGCCAAGAGTGCGGGGGAGATGGGATGCTCGCAACCCGGCAGGTGGTAGTGAGTGGCTTTTTCAGAGCGCTTATGGGCTCCTTTGGCGGAGAATCTCTGCCTCCATGGGCTCCTCTGAAGGAAGAAGGGACTCTGGGGGCAGCGGGAGCCTGGGCATCGGGAGACCCAGAGGCTGGTCCTCAAGTGCTGTCAACCTCGGACAAGTCACCTCACTTCTCCGGGCACATCTCTCAGAGGTGCATTGTTTTTTATTATAAAAGTCACACGTGATCATAAAAAATGTAAATGTGACAAAAGAAAAAAATCAGAGTAGGTTCCTTCCCCATCCTACCACCATGACAGTCTGCTGTAAAACTTCTTCTCAATATACAAAGAGCTATGCATACTTCTTAAACAGACATTGGGATCACAAAGATGCTGTTTCTGCAAATTTCCCTCTGTCAGTGTATAGGTCTGCCTCCTTCTACAAGCAGCTGCATAATATTCCAGCATCTACTGGGCCATTTTATGGCTATTTTCACAGGGTAAATTACCTGAAATGAAATTACTGGATCAAAAATATTTCTCCATAGCCTCAATACATTGAATATTATTATTCCTTTAAAAATTTTTGATAATGGTGAGTGAAAATAATATATTTTTTAAATTTTTTAATTTAAACTGATTAGTGAGGTTGAGCATCTTTTTTTTTTTTTTTCTGGTTTGTTTACATGTTTAGTGGCGATTTGTATTTTGCCTTCTATATAAAACTTGCTTATATCTTCCCAATTTTTCTATTGGAATGATGACTTTTTTTTTTTATCTTAAAATAGCACTTTTATAGTGAAGCCCTTAATCAATCACTTGCCACACAGATTACATTTTCCCCTTAGTTTGTCATTTATAGTATGTTTCCCATACCAATCATTTAAATACTTATGCAGGTAAATTTTATTAGTTTTTTCCTTTATGGATTCTGAGGTTTATCCCTTTTCAAGAAAGGTTTTTCCCTTTCTCATGATTATGAAATTAAATTGTTCTTTAGGTTCTTTTGTAGCTTTATAATTCTTAAAAATGTGTGCATCTTTAATACATTTGAAATTATTTTTTTCTGTGAATGTGGCATGAGGTGAAAATCTACCCGCCCCACCCAACCAAATAGATAACTAATTATTCCACCATTTGAGGAAAAATCTAACCTCTACTAACAAGAGAAACAATCTGTATCACATACTAGATCCCCATATATCTTATTCCTCATTAACCTATTTTATTTTTATTCTTTTATTCATTAATCTATTTTATATTCTTACAACATTTTCATAATAATTAATTACTCTGATTTTATAATATCTTTTAAAAGCCAATAGGGCAAGTCTCCTCTCATTTTTCTTGTTTTATAAAAATTATCTATTCTCATATATCTATTCTCCTAGATAACATTTAGATTCAACTTGCCAGTTCTTCTAATCAGAAATTTTACTGGAATCGCATAAAGGTTATAAACTAATTTGGGGCAGAATTGAAATCTTCACAATATTTATTCATCCCAAGCAGAAATGCAACAATTTACTTCGTTTAGGTTTTCTTTGATGTACTTCAATATTTGTTTCTAAACAGGTCTTAGATATTTCTTGCGTGAATTAGACATTGTATTTTCAGTTTTGTGAGTGATTTATGCTTTGTTTTGTTCTTGCCATAGTGAATGTGATAATTTTTCATTTTATATTTTCAACTTGTTATTACTATTAGATGAGAAAACTATTTAGTTTATGTCTGGGAATCTTTATGAACTCTCTTATTGTTTCTATTAAGTAATCAGTTGAGTCTCTTGCATTTTCCACATAATAACTGCTTTACTTATTACCGAAGTAAAGCGTATCTATTGTAGAAAATGAAAACATACAAAAAGAAACAAACAGTACTTGCAGAATCTACTCTTCAGAAATAGTCATTCTTAACATTACTTACATATAACTTTTAAAAAGGATCATTATATATATATATACAACATTATATTTACCGAAGTAGACGTATGCATACGTCTGAGAATTAAGTAGACATATGATATACATAGCTGTTCAAATAGCACCATAATGTTTTTCTAACCTACTTTTTGTACTTAATAAAATGTTGTAAACCTTTTTCTGCATTATCATTCTAACAGCTATAGTAAACGTATAAATTTATCTAATCAATCCCTAACTTTCGATGTTTAGGTTGGGTTTGTTTATTTGTTTATTTTTATAAATTCACTTATTTTAATTAATTTTAAGTATATATACAGTACATTGGTTAGACATTTATATAGTTTATAAAACGATCCCCCTAATTGCTCATTCTCTCCTCTGGTTTTCCACCTAGCGAATATGAGTTTATTTTTTAATTTTATGAATCTATAGTAGACATCTTACTATCTAAATCTTTGTTAACATTTATGATTATTTCTTTAAGAGAACTTTCTAGAAGTGGAATTTCTGGGTCCAAAGTCATGGGGAAATCTACGGCTTTGGGAACAAATTGATAAATTGCACTCTAGCAAGCTCGTGCCAATTTTTTCTCCCACTTCCACTTTTTAATATATATCCTACTTTCTTCGGTAAACATTATACCATAGGAATTTCTTAAGTTCTTAAACTCACTGGCAACATCACTTTGATGGTGAAAGAGTATTTCGTCAGTCGCCAACCCGCAGTTCCTTCTGCTTCCTGGGATATAAACCCAACAGTTTCCAACTTCCAGACCAAGCAGCTTTGTTTGATGGGGAGCCTCCGCTTTGGGATCCGACTTTTAAAGTAGAAATAAAATAGTTAACTCGGCCTCCATCAGTTACTCTCTACAACCGGAAGGTGGCCAGGGGGGGTCCATGAAATGTTAATCATTCTAAGAGATCGCTACCTACAGCTACCTACAAGTAACAGAAGATCCGTTTGTGCTTTAAAAAATGCCCTTCCCTGTCATTTTTCTTTTTTTTTGTCGGTGAAAAAGGTGTCATATTCCTCCCTGTCAGGTGTTCCCTTGGCAAGAAACTCCCAATTCAGAAACCCTTCCAGCAAGGGGATAAGTTTTTCGAAGCGGCAAATGACTACAAACACATCTGCATTGACAAGTCACAACTTAGATCCTTCTGTGGTGTTTCTGCTCTTTTGAAAATGTTAATAAAAACTTAATGTGGAAAAAAACCAACTTTTTCCAAATATGTGTACCAATGAGCCCGAGGCAACTCATACTTTCTTATAAAATAAAGTAGGTCACTCACATCAATCATGTTGTCTTAGCACATTTTTTCCAAATTAGGAATTCTCAATCCATCATACCACGTTATGGCATCCCTTTTCCAAACATTTCCTTTTAATATGCTCTTTAACATGATAAGCAAATCTAATAGAATACATTAGTGTCACTTTCCAGTGATGGAGTGTTTCCTCCTGTTGCAATTCACAATGAGTTCAGGGAAACATTTTTACTAGTTCACTCTCTAATAGCGATCACTTGTTGAAAATATGACAATGGCCCCAAAGCTGCCAAGGCCACACTTGGGTGTTAGCCTTAGAGAGATCACAGGGCTCTCCCTTCACCTCTCCATGTGTTATAGACGTAGAGAACTCGAAAGGATGTGTGTGTCCCAAAGCAAAATCATAAATTCGGATTCTGTAAGTGAAGGGAGTGTTTAAATTTAGCCTGCCTGTCGATTCAGTAGGGTTGCATATGCATACGTACCCTGTATAGATCAAAAGCTTGTACTGGGCTTCATTTTAAACCACACTGCTCCCAGAACATTTCCAAATCTCCTGGACCATGCAGAAAGGGAGGATCCTTGGCTTAATATGAGCGAGAGTCTCCCAAACCGGTTGCCATCGTTTTGGAAGTGAATTTGGACCCCGTGTGAGATGCAAGCTCTGTTTACAACCCACTTGAGATAACTATATTTGCCTGTCCGTATATTTGACAACATTTACCTGGCAAAAACAGGGTATTTGTTTCCACTCAGATCTCTGGTTCTCAGACTCATGTGTTCAGTGTTAGCACTTGAGTCTCTTCAGGGATTTTTTTATTTGGACAGAGTTTTGGAATAAAACATTTGGGAAAGTTGGGAGTGGGAGAGGCTTGTAGAGCGCCCAGGAATTCAGCTGTTTCAGGCTTTTGGCCACTTAAAAGGAAAATATCTGAATGGAAAAGAGAGAGTTGAGTCTATTCTCTGGCCCTTTTGTCTGGACATGTGGGGTCCTATAGACACTGGTTTAGAGGGCCCATTCCCTCAGTTGCCTCCCCTCTCCCTCCTGCCTTGGGAAAGGGGAAAGGAAAGTTATGGACTCTGATCAGCCATAGCTTCCTGGCACTAACCTGTTATGGCCCACGGCTAACGACTTGAGGCTGCGTGTGCCCAAGACGTGTCATTAACTCATTTATCACAAAAGCAACGGTGCTAGGGCCAGTGGAAGACAGAAAAATGAGGCACAGCTTCCGCCCTTAAGAAGGTCGAAGTCAGGCTTGATATCGAGTAGGACATGATGAGGGGGGGAAAGTGCCCAGGGACTTCAGAGAGAGAGAGGTCATTGCCAAGTATGAGGCAGATATAATAAAAGATTAAGAAGAAGACGCTCTCAGGACTAGGCCTTGAATGATGAGTAGGCTTTAGATCTGCACTCTGCACTTCGGAAGGACATTCTAAGTGAAGGGCACAGGGACAGTAAAGGGATAGGCATGGGAAAGCATGCAGGAAGTGGGGGCGTGAGAAATCATTCAGAACCAATGGAATGCAGGCTGCATAAAGAGAGGCATGAGAAGAAATCGAGGAAGGAAGCATGAAGCAAGCGTGTGAGGAGCCTTGAAGGCCGAGCTAAGGAGCAAACCCTCCTGGGAGTGCTCCCTCTCCCATGCCCCCAAAATCGTTCTGGCCACATGAACACGTTTGCTTGGAATAGGAAAATTATTAGGGTGACGACATTTATGTCGGTGTGTTTTAACGCTCTCGATCTTGTATCTCATTTACGTTTCTCCTTCTATACACAGGCAAATGCTACAGCAAACTAAAGTGTTTTCCATTGCTGAGGTTGGGAACATCATCTCGGAAATCTCTGCTGGCCTCAAAACCATCGCTCACAGAGATTTAGGATGCCCTCACGTTTCAGTATTTCCCATGAGTCGATTAAAATGTGTAGAAGCTGCCACTTTCCTTCTGGCCCATAGACCCAGAGAGGACTACGCAACGCAAGACGTCAGGTGCTTTGGCGAATTCATTAGTTTGTTCACCAAATATTTATTGAGCAACGACTAGGTGCTCTAACGTTGCTCTACGTGCTGGAGACAAAGTGTATAAACAAAGCACACGGGGCTCCTGTCTTCCTGCGGTTTACTTTCTGGTGGGGAAAAAAAAAATGTTAACACGATAATTTCAGAGAGTTACAAGGGAAATAAAGGAAATAAGCCGAGCGGCGTGATAGAGTGTGACTGGAGGCAGGAAGGGGCAACCGTGTCTGAGAAGCTGGTCGGAGGAGGCCTGAAGGATGGAGGCTGAGAAGGAGCCAGCCAGACGAAGAGCTCGGGCAGGACGCAGCAAGCAGAGGACACAGCGAGTGCCAGTCAATACCTGGAGAGCTGAAGAAGCGAGGATGTGCGAAGAAAGGGAGCACAGGGGTCTGCAGCGTGGCGAAAGCCAATGTGGAATTTGAGGTACAGTGGGAAGCACCTGCAGGGTTTTAAGCAGCGCAGTGACTGAGCTCCGAATGTCGGGGTACCCGCTTTTGAGCCGCCATTAGCCACCATCTGCTCGGGCCTCACCGCTGCTGACTTTTCCCGCGAAGTCAAAACGAGTATTGCGAGTGCATCGGCTTTTATTTTTACAGCAATCTTTGTACCCAAACCACCGTAGCATTTTTAATAATAAACTGGCAGGGAGTCAGACATCTGTACTTGAAAAAAACAGCCCAAGCCAAGTATTTCTAAATGTTTTATATTTACTTGTAACATTAGAATAACCATGAGGTTGCTTTTTGCATAATCGGAACCATTCTCATTAGGGTTCGACAGACCTCGTCCTTCACGGGCTTTGGTGGTGGTTTTCATTATGGCAGTGACATTGATCTGACGGGAGTGAATCTCTCCTTGAACGTTTGTGGGGAAAGGGGGACGCTGAGAGGATGCAGGGCAAGCTAGGAAAATAAGAACTCTACGAAGATAACCGTCAGTGTGACATCGGGGTGCCGTGGAAAGAGCCCAGGCTGGGTGATGTTGGGCAAGTCACTTAACCTCTCTGAGCTTCCGTCTACTCCTAAGCAAAGTGGGATGATGACATAATCTACCTCGTGGTGTTATGATGAGGTCTAAAATAACATAGGTAAAGAGGCCTCGTACAAGGTTGCGTCTGGTGGCCTTCCTCTAAAATTAATATTTAATATCCAAGATTGAGACACTATCCCCACTGATTTTTTTTTTCTAAAATAGGGTTGCAAGATTTGTCAAATAAAAATACAGGGCACCCAGTTACATTTGAACTTCAGATAAATGAAAAATTATTTTGTATAAGTATGTTTCATGCAATCTTTGGGACATACTTAGGGTAAACAAGTATTTGCTGTTTATCTGAAATTAAAATTTAACTAGGCATCCTGTATTTTATCTGGAAACCCTATGCTAAAGGTTTAATGGTTCTCAGATCATAAACAAAGAGTGTTTTTGAGACCTATTTGGTCTTGGTACACTAACTGGCCACCTGCATCAGAAGCAGTTTAATATCCTTGCAAAGACTGTGTCTTTCTTGCTCACAGAATCCCCAGTGCCCAGAACAGAACCTGAAATATAGTAGGTGCTCAATAAAAGTATATCGCATGAACCACTGAAAGACTATAAGCCTTTCTTCTAAATCAATTAGATTTGATAAATATATATATTTTAAACATATCTTATAGATCAAGCATCTTTTACCTGACGTAGGTGAGAAGACAGACCCAGCGACCACCCCAGCACCCCCTCCCCACCACCAGAATCAACCTGGAATGGAAGAGGAGGGCAGCCTTCGAGCATTCCCCCTCTCCCCAGGCCACCGGCAGCCAGCATGGAGCCAGATCTGTGCGGTTCACATCTCAGCCTTTGCCCTGAGCTCCTCTGCGTGGCATCCCCCAAAACAACACGGGCTGCAAGAATGTTTCACACCAACTCATTTCATACTTCATTTATTTTATTAAAAAAAGAAGATAAAACTTCCAGGTTCAGAGTCCACTCTTCACCCCCCACCCTCCACCCGCTTCTGGCAAACAGGAGACATCTGGGCTGGGAGGTGGGGAACGGTGGAGTTAGGGGCTGGGAGAAGCCGCTGGTGGAAGGGAAAGTCAGGTGTGGCCCCTTCTGAGCTTCCCAGGCCAACAAATGTCTACATTTCCTGGGAAGTTGTGAGCCTAGAGGATTTCCCCAGGAATCCGGGCTAGGCTTGTAAAGAAATGATCCCAACATCAAGAAAAGAAACCGGCCAGTAAATTCCTAGTTAGTTCATTTTCTAAGACTTGTGAATGTGGTTTGAATTTTCTCTAAATTAAGATAATCATAAAAGGTTAAGATATTTAAACAGAGCTGCACCTGATCCCAGGACTTGATTTGTATGCTTAATTAGTTCCCGAACATATGGTTCAGAGCTTCTTATAAAAACAGGGTAATGACTCGAGGTATATTTGGGTATTAGATTGAATGATGTTAAAGGGACATTCGGACCCATCTCAAAGGCCTTAACCTGCCCTTGATCTGTGCTGGAAGCTTTGGCTGACATCTGTTTCAAAGAGATATCAAAAAACTTTCCAGTGGCCTCATGATAAAACAAAAATCCATACGGAGATAGATATCAGGCATTAAAATACTTAGGATTCATCTTTGCCTGAGGAATGTGTGGCCCCAGAATATAAGCGTGCGGGGGGAGGGGTTGATGAGGGGCTCTGAGAACTGCTGAGGCTACAGGCCTTGACTCAATCTGGAGAGGGAGCAGCTGGGTCACAAATGTCCCCAAGGCCCTTTGTTCTTCCGTATGTTTTAGTTTCCAATAATAAATCAGGTGCGCCTGTGTGAGGGACATGATTCAGGTCACCAAGAGTCGCTTCTCCAGCTCCTATGCAACCCCACTCTTCCCTACTCCCCTCCCTGGAAGGCACTCTGGGGACTGTCCCCAGCAGGAGTGACGGGCGCTGACTCACCCATACTCTCTGTTCCAGTCGTGAGTAGCTCCTCCTCTAACCCGCATCCCTAAAGACGTGGCGGGGGGGCCGGCGGGGGGGGGTCTGTACATATGCGTGTGTGTGTGTGTGTGTGTGGGCGCGCGCGCGCATTTGCTGTGCATAACACAGCTTCCAGACCAGCCCCTCCCCAATCTCCAATCAGATTTCTGCCCCTCAGCCCTTCCTAAATAGGGATTCTGTGTCCATTATGTTTATGAAAATTTGGGCCACATATAGGAAATGGCAACGTCATCTAGGGCCGTAAAACGGGCCTCAGAGGGGATCAGGCCCATCGCCTTGGCTTTAGTGCACCATCACTCTACCCAGCTTCATTTATTCACCCACCTAGTCACCTATCCTTTT